TTTTTTTTTTACGCTGCTAACATCATGCTGTGTTTGGAGATTCTTGAAATTAAGATTCTCAAACTATACTTGTACTGAAAATTATTCCGCCTTAAAGTACGACGAGAATTTATCGATCGAATTTACTTGATCGAAAACATGAACTTAACATGAAATCTGCTACAGAATTTAGGAATACATATATTAATTCCATAAATCCTTCAGTCACATAATATTTGTCTAAGAAAATCCTTGGCTTAAATACATAAATTGTATTATTTAAGGTCTGGGATTTTCTCAGTCATTACAGTGGGAATAGGGTTGAGAGGCATCATTTCATCATCGAAAAATGGCTCATCACCAAGCTCAGGAAGAGCAGTCAAATCAGGAAAGTTTGATGTGTCAATTTTCTGAAAATTGATTGAACTTAAACTTTGTAAATGAAAGAGTAAGAAAATGAGTGATCGTGAGAAAAAAACTTAGAATCAAAAGTAAAGAGACAAAATGAGAAATAGAATGAGAGTGAGATGAAAAGTTGAAAGTTAATTATTGTGTGGAATTTATGGTAGAATTAAGGGGTATTTATAGGAGTTTTTTTGTGGGTTTTTAGATTGTGACCGTTGGGCCATGCACTGGCCCAACGGTCACAAACCAAACGGGCTGCAGGCCATTACGCGGGCCTGGGCCGGGCCAAACAAAGGCCGAATCCGGGCCTGGGCCGGGCCGTAGGCCTTCATGGGCTTAGGTCGCTAGCTGAGAAGCCGCGGCCCAGCCCTAGCCCATCTAACGTGTCGAGCCGGCACAGCCTGTAACAGTACTGTACTGGGCCGTGCTGAATCCGGCGCTGTTACGGGCATGGACGGCCCGATCCATTTGACAACTCTACTATAGAATTACTAAAATGCCATTAAAATTCAGTTAAAAACTTAATAGATGGAGCTTTTTTATTAACATTTTATTGTTCAGAGGAACGGATGTTACGTTTTAAAGATCAAGAAACAAAGTGTTAAAGGGAGTATAATTTAAGGGGAATTGTAATTAATCCAAAAAGAAAAGTAAAAGTTGTGGCTTAAGGAATTTAAGCTAAGATATAATATTTTTTTAAAATTTTTAATTGTAGTAAAAAAATTAAATGTAATATTTTTTATAAACTTTTAATTATAAAAATCTAAAATTAAAAATTTAAATGGGCAAAACCAACGAGGGCGAAACGAACATTAGAGGAAGTAACACTAATTCCACTTACAAGAAATAAATGGTTCGGATTGCACAGCACTATATTGACGGACGCCATTAGGCCCTGAGACTATAT